CCCATTCCTTAATTTCAAAATTGTTTTTTAAAATTTTATGATTTTTAGAAGGGAAATTCAGAAATTTGAAAATTGGAATGCGATTTTTTTATTTTTGCACACTGCGTTTTCATACTGTTCCGTTTTCAAATGAATTATTTTTTAATAATATGAACTAAACCATTCCTTAATTTCAAAATTGTTTGTTTTTTTTTGAACTTTATGATTTTTAGAAGAGAAATTCAGAAATTTGAAAATTGGAATGCGATTTTTTTATTTTTGCACACTGCGTTTTCATACTGTTCCGTTTTCAAATGAATTATTTTTTAATAATATGAACTAAACCATTCCTTCATTTCAAAATTGTTTGTTTTTTTGAATTTTATGATTTTTAGAAAAGAAATTCAGAAATTTGAAAATTGGAATGCGATTTTTTTATTTTTGCACACTGCGTTTTCATACTGTTCCGTTTTCAAATGAATTATTTTTTAATAATATGAACTAAACCATTCCTTAATTTCAAAATTGTTTGTTTTTTTTTGAATTTTATGATTTTTAGAAGAGAAATTCAGAAATTTGAAAATTGGAATGCGATTTTTTTATTTTTGCAAACTGCGTTTTCATACTGTTCCGTTTTCAAATGAATTATTTTTTAATAATATGAACTAAACCATTCCTTAATTTCAAAATTGTTTGTTTTTTTTTGAACTTTATGATTTTTAGAAGGGAAATTCAGAAATTTGAAAATTGGAATGCGATTTTTTTATTTTTGCACACTGCGTTTTCATACTGTTCCGTTTTCAAATGAATTATTTTTTAATAATATGAACTAAACCATTCCTTAATTTCAAAATTGTTTGTTTTTTTTTGAATTTTATGATTTTTAGAAGAGAAATTCAGAAATTTGAAAATTGGAATGCGATTTTTTTATTTTTGCAAACTGCGTTTTCATACTGTTCCGTTTTCAAATGAATTATTTTTTAATAAAATGAACTAAACCATTCCTTCATTTCAAAATTGTTTGTTTTTTTGAATTTTATGATTTTTAGAAAAGAAATTCAGAAATTTGAAAATTGGAATGCGATTTTTTTATTTTTGCACACTGCGTTTTCATACTGTTCCGTTTTCAAATGAATTATTTTTTAATAATATGAACTAAACCATTCCTTAATTTCAAAATTGTTTGTTTTTTTGAATTTTATGATTTTTAGAAAAGAAATTCAGAAATTTGAAAATTGGAATGCGATTTTTTTATTTTTGCACACTGCGTTTTCATACTGTTCCGTTTTCAAATGAATTATTTTTTAATAAAATGAACTAAACCATTCCTTCATTTCAAAATTGTTTGTTTTTTTGAATTTTATGATTTTTAGAAAAGAAATTCAGAAATTTGAAAATTGGAATGCGATTTTTTTATTTTTGCACACTGCGTTTTCATACTGTTCCGTTTTCAAATGAATTATTTTTTAATAATATGAACTAAACCATTCCTTAATTTCAAAATTGTTTGTTTTTTTTTGAATTTTATGATTTTTAGAAAAGAAATTCAGAAATTTGAAAATTGGAATGCGATTTTTTTATTTTTGCAAACTGCGTTTTCATACTGTTCCGTTTTCAAATAAATTATTTTTTAATAAAATGAACTAAACCATTCCTTCATTTCAAAATTGTTTGTTTTT